CAAAAACAACTGGAGAATGTGAACTGTTTTAAATATTTGGGTAGCTTGTTAACAGATGACGGAAAGTGTACGTGTGAAATTAAATCTAGGATTGTCATGGCAATAGCTGCATTTAGCAAGAAGAAGAAACTTTTTACCAGCAGATTGGACTTAAATTTGAGAAAAGAACTAGTGTAATGCTACGTTTGGAGCATCGCTTTGTATGGAGCTCAAACATGGACACTTAGGGTAGTAGATCAGAAACACCTGGAAAGCTTTGAAATGTGGTGTTGGAGAAGGATGGATAAGATCAGTTGGACCGATTATGTGAGAAATGAAGAAGTGTTATTTAGAGTCAGTGAGCAGAGGAATATCCTACACGAAATAAGAAAATGGAAGGCTGATTGGATTGGTCATATCTTACGCGGTAACTTCCTTCTAAAAGAAGTTATTGAAGGAAAGATAGAGGGGTGGATAGAAGTGACCAGAAGACGAGGAAGAAGATGTAAGAAGATGCTGGATGACCTTGGGGACAGAAGAGGATGTTTTCATTTAAAGGAGAAAGCTCTAGATCGCATCAAATGGAGGAACTGTTTTGGAAGAGACTGTGGACCTGTCGTCTTGACAGATTACAGATGAATGAATGAACGAAATAAATTAATAAATAAGTAATGTTTTTTATTCTTATCTTCTTCTTCCCCTACCCATGAAACTAGTTACGTTGATTAAAATGTGTTTAAACAAAGCGTGTAGTAAACTCCGTGTAGGTAAACATTTGTCTGATAAATTTCCTATCCGGAATTGTCTAGAACAAGATGCTTTATTGCCACTCCTTTTCAACTTTGTTTTAGAATATGCCATTAGGAAGGTCCTGGGAAACCAGGTGGGACTGAAATTAAATGGGACACATCACCTGTTGGTCTGTGCCGATGATGTGAATCTACAGGGTGATAATATAGATACCATGAAAAAAAAAACAAACTTTAATTGACACAAGTAAAGAGGTTGGTCTAGAAATAAACACGGAGAAAACTAAGTATATGTTTTTGTCTCGTCATCAAAATGCAGGGCGAACTCATGATATAAAGATAGGAAACAGATGTTTTGAAAATGTGGCACAATTCAGATATTTGAGAATAACGATAACATCGAGACCTGATTCAGGAGGAAATTAAGAGGAGATTGAACTCTGGTAATGCTTGCTACCATTCATTCCAGAACCTTTTGTCTTCTCATCTGCTGTGCAAAAAACATAAAAATTAGAATATACATAACTAATTTTGCCTGTGCTTCTGTATGGGTGTAAAACTTGGTCTCTGATATTAAGGGAGGGTGTTTGAGAACATGGTGTTGAGAATATTTGGAACAAAGAGAAATGAAGCGACAGGAGGTTGGAGAAAACAGTATAATGAGGAGCTTCATAACTTGTACTCTTCTCCAAGTATAATTAGAATGATCAATCAAGGAGAATGAGGTGGGCAGGGCATGTAGCATGAATGGGTGAGACGAGGAATGCATATAGGATATTGGTGGGAAAGCCAGAAGGAGAGAGACCACTGGGGAGATAAAGGCATAGGTGGGTGTACAATATTAAAATGGATCTTAAGAGAGCTATGATAAGATGGTATGGATTGGATTAATCTGGCTCAGGATAGGGACCAGTGGAGGGCTTTTGTTAACACGGAAATGAACCTTCGGGTTCCATAAAATGCTGGGAAATTCTTGAGTAGCTGCAGAATTGGTGTCTCCTCCAGAAGGGCTCAGCTCCATGAGTAAGTAAGTAAGTCAGTCTTCTTCTTTCCCTGCTTTTTTCAGTAAATTGCTCCCAAAATTTCATATGGCGAAGTGAAAATATGAAACGTATTTGTTTTCTACACACTAGTAGCTGATTGACATTGAAACTTTATGCCACTGTTTCTGTAAATATATCTGGAGATATTTCAGTTGATATATTTGAAATTTCCTCATTTTCTGACCAGTGTCACATGGAACTTTTCAGGGGTGTTAATCATATTTTAGTTAATGAAAAATTGTATAGTGTGACAACTGAATTCAGTGATTTAAAAACGTTTTTAACCTTGTGTTAAATCTCTCAACATATTGGAAACCAGTCATCTGAAGACAGGAGGAAAGTCAAATCCTGAAACATTGTGCAGGTCATATATATTTCACATAGTAGATGTTCTTGGATAACAACTATGACATGTACTCAGAATTTGTCATGTTTAGAATGTACTATTGCAAGAAATTCTAAATGGAATTTAATTGAAAATGAATAGGTTTACACACATGATAACCACACAATCTAATAAATATCATGTAATTGTCATTACATGTACTGTTTATTTCAGGCAAATATCATGTCACAATTGGTGATGTAACAAAGGAGGTGAAACCAGCAAGGAATCCTCAGTTTGTCCCCCTTAATTACTGTAAGTATTTTCAGACAATTTGGGACAGTTTACTCTTGAGTATGACACAAAACAACTGTATGCAGAAGGACTCATGAACTCATATCAACTTTGGGTATAACCACTAATAGACATTACATTGTAGTAATAAAAACATAGTAGTCTTAAATTTTTAATGGGGAGTGATAATGATTAGCAGTTATGTTTACGATGCATATAGTTTTCCAAATTCAGCAAGGTTTAATTCACCATTGCTTAAAATTGTCTAAAGTGTTGCACATCAGTAGATTTGTTAATTTTTTTATGATTAAGTTTTTATTGATCATACATGTATTTAACAAAGAATATGCCTGAAAAGTCTGAGATATGATGTTCTATAGTTCTGAAGATAGGTTCCCCTAAAATGTTGACAGCTGCCTATCAAACTATGCAGCATCATATCTTGGAAGACTAATCTTTATATTCACTACTGTGAGAACCTCAGACTCTCACAAAGAGAATATTTGAGGGGGCAAGAGATGCAGCTATGAAAACTACTAGTATTTCAAACTGACAGACCACAGAAATACCCAAATAGATACTACAATTCTTAGTAAGATGTGCCCCTCCTTTTAAGTCTTTTTGAATATTTAAATCTGATGCCTTACATTATATGAACTAACACTAAATAAAAAATGTTGACTAAAAATAACATCACTTGACATATTGTCAATTTGATTACCACATTAATCCACAGGAAGCAGTTATTCATGAAACAGAAACCAGGATTAATTTTATTATCAAATGCTTGCTTATTTTTTCACCTGCACAGCATAAAAGTTTGTTAAGAGCATCTTCTGTTAGCACTGTATTGTGGGGTATTTATATCAAGCGAGAGCTACTGAGCTGCAGAGGTCTGTTGGCACGGTGATTGTGCAACAGTTAGGAAAGCAATGTTTTCTCTGTGCCGAGCCAAGCCACAGTGTGCTTGCTGCTGTGTAACAAGGCAAACACTGATTTACAACCAAATAGGCTGTTTTCTCTGTGTGGTCAGTGCAGAGGCTGTATAACAAGATTCCAGGAATAACCAAGGCAGTGTTTCAGATTATTTGAGAGTATTTGAGTGTTTAAGTGTTAAAGTAAGAGTGAGAGTGTGTGATTAAGAGAGGTTGTAACCAAGGTGCTAATAAATTCAGTCATCCAAACTAGAACCCATCATTCTCGTCATGCATACCATCCTACACGTGACAGTGTATATAAATGTAGTGAAATTGGAGATCAGCTTGCTAAGCACAAACACTCAACCACATGCTTCCATTGATACAAGCAAATGTGTAAGAAACGGAAATTTTGTATGCATTTAAATTGATTTAAATCCTTAAGTGCTTGTAGGTAAGTAATAACCTACCAAGCAAGTTGGCTCCTGTATTCAGGAGGTGACCAGTTCAGACCTCAGAGGGAACACCACCTATCCTGATTGAGGTTTTTTATGGTTTCCCTTAGTCTGGCCAGGTGAATGCCAGAATCATATCTGAAATTAGGTCACACATGCAGTTTCCTTGCACATCATTTCCTATCATCCAGTCTCTCAGTATTATACTCATATAGTTCCATCTACTGTCAGTATTATACTTGTATACAGTGGAACCTCGCTTAACAAGCATAATTCATTCCAGAATCTTTCTCATAATGTGAAACACTCGTTAAGCGAAACAATTTTTCCCATGTAAATTAATGTAAAATGCGATAATGCACTCCATGCCGAAAAAATACACAAAAAAATATGTATAAGGTTTATTCAAAGAAAATTATATATACTGTAACATGTTGCGTGACTGAGAACCCCCCTCCCCCCTCCTCTCCGCGGTAACGTAGCGCTCCTCGCCACTCCCCTCCGCGGTGATGTCACGCGGTGACGTAACGCGCAACGCTAACGTAACCGTAATCAACGTCACACTAGCAACAGCGCAAGGCTATATAAGTGGACTCCACAGCCGCTACCAATGAGTTGAAACATAGCAGCCTGCGAGTGTGCGATAACTAAGAAGTCAGCGAGCGGAAGACTTATTGTGTGCTTTCCGGACATAGTGATTGCTGTAGTGCAGTTATACTCGGAGTGTGTATTTCAGGGAGACTTGTATAGCTCCCGCGTTAGTAGTACGTGAAGACAAGTGAAGACAGTGTTAAGAGATTTGTTGTAGGGTTTGTAAAGTGTGGAAACCCGTGATATTGTGATCATTAATTGTAGCCGATAGTTGTAGATTGTTCAATAAACCAGTTAACGATCTCCACGGCGTCTTCAGTAACGAAACACGTTACA